TCTAAGGTTATTGAGTGATGAGATGATCCATGCGTCGCTGTTTTTTTTCCTGCCGAAGAACTGCATCCACTGTGTTCCAGGATTTTAGGCCACTGGTTCATTGAGACGGTCCACGTCTGTCCACGAGCGGTTCTTGTGGGTCACCACGTGCTTCACACGGGTGGAACCGGCCCCGCCACGCATCGCTCGCCGGATCCTGCTCGGCGCATCGCAGGTTGGATCAACGTTTAAAGGGGAAGACCTTCTCGGACACCCGCTTGCCTCCACCACCGCCCAGCCACTCGGAAGCACCGATTTTCGGAAAAAGAATAACTTGCAAAAGCCCTTGAGATATATACTAAGGTTACGGTCACTTAGTCTCCTGCAGTTTTGCCATAGACTCCGAAAACCACATGAAAAACACTGGGAGGACATGTATTTTTTGATGGGTCCATTTTCAGGGTCCATGTGACAGTTCGGCATTCACAGCTTGCAAAAGAGAAAAGCACCTGACGTACAGTAGCACTCATTCTCTGAGATGTCATCATCCACTCCCCTGCAGAAGACCATCATGGAACCCAGAAGATCAGCGTCATGGTCGGTTAGACCTGCTTTTCCTTCCTCATCGTCCATGTCGGACCGTTTGGCCTGTAGGTCGGGTCACCCACGATCCATGTCAGGCGGCGTGGCCCAGATTCACCACCAACAAACATCCCAACAATCACCAAATCTAGGCCGTATGCTTGCTGAATTATACACTTTCAGTGGCGTCAAGAAGTAGATGGCACGAACAGGGGGGGGGGCCCTAGGCCGTCGTGAGGTGGTTCATTTCGAGCCCTACAGAACAGACATCTTGGGGTGGCGTGGTGCCATCGAACCTCTGAATCCAACTGCATGTACATCCCACACACGACCAGGACTAGGACTGCCATATATGTCGACTAATTATACATTGACCGGCACCACCCCTGGCCGTTTCTCGGCAGTATGGCAGTCCCAATCCAACTGCATGTACATCCCAGACACTCCATGGGAGTGCCATATATACACTGACCCCCCTGGCACCACCCTAATTGATCGGCAGTCCGACATGGCAGTCCCAATCCAACTGCATGGACATGGCTCCTTTGGGCATGTGATCGGCATGTTCCTCGTCTCGCACCATCGCACGCCTTCGACGAGGCTTCCCCGCTAGGCCTGAGACGCCCGTCCTCTGCGCTGCAAAGGGGGGGCGGGGTCGGGGCGGACTGGGTGGGCGGGCCGTTCTCAGGGCGAGAAGGTCCAAGATCAGCGGGATGGAGTCAACTCCTGTTTTCCTCTATAGCTGCAACGTTTTCAGGTTCCAATCAGCATATACTGTATATGAATCATGTAGAGGTTCGATGCGTGGTGACCATGTTGCCAGTGCGCTTGTGCAATCATGGATCATGTAGGTTATCAGCGACAATGATGGGATCCATTGATCATCTACTTGTTGCCTCTATCGAATATTAGCCAGTGGGTGGTCCTCTCCTCTCAAGGTAGAAGCGGCTACAGGGACATACAGGGACCGCCCGTATATGTTTAAGCGAAGTTATTCTTTATACACCCCAGAGCCCAAAGATTTGTGCACCCATATTTCCAACATGCGATGCTGAGAACCTTACTATGCCTTGCCTTACAACATTTCTTTGGATGTTTACAACCCAGTTTCTGCCAGATTTCCACTGTCCCTCGAACCGCGAACGAGTTCCCCAACACAGCGGTTGGTTCGCGGTTTGCGGTTGGGCCGGAGTGGGCTGAAACGGTGGACTCCAACCGATGTGGCCACCGGTCATGTTTGGTCCAAGTCGTTCAGCCAAGCCATGGCCCCAGTCTGACCGGTTTCCGTTGCTCGTGGAGACGAGCCCGCACCGCTTGCTGTTTGAAGTCAAACGCTGAGTGAAGAGAGTGAAGCAAGATGTGAGAGGCAGGTGAAAACCCTTCAACTAACAAGTGAGTACCCCCCCCCTCCAAGAAACATGACAGACATAGAAGTGGAATACACATGATTCTGGTGATTGGAACATGGTCATCCAATCATTTCCAGGCCATCCACTTCGATGGCTTCAGGGAGTATATTTTAGGGAGCAGTTGTGCCGTCTGCATCAAACCGGCGTTGTTCGCATCCATCGCAGTTTGGATTATTTTTTGTGGGAAGCACGTTCTCCTTGAGAACTCGATTTGTTGGCTTTGCTTGAAGTTGTGGCTATTGGGGTTGGAACGGGCGGTTTCGATTCTGCCAAGGATAGATTTTGCTAAAACCGGACAGCACAGGTGTGTCCAACTGGCCCATGTCACCTGTATGCCCTGCTTGAATCATGGATGTTACATGGGGGTCGCCATGGCTTGTAGCTTGTGGTTTGTCCGTCCTTTTGAACATTGGATTCCTTCCCGCACCCTGCAGGTCTCATTAGGAGGTGCCAGTAGGTTTGCTGTGGATCACAAACCTCAACGTGCCACAGAAAACTCCTTGGATGTTCTCTAGAATTCAGGGTGCCCATCATCCACTCACTTAGGGCCTAAAAAGAATTCCTTTGGAACTGCTGGTGTGAGAGACTCTCACCACAGCACACTGGCCAGAGAAATCCTGCTGGCCATGGTGGAGCGGCTTTGGCCGCTTTTGTTGTGCCTGGCGAGCGCCAGATATGACAAGCCACCATGCCTGGAGGGAGAGATGCTCGGGCGAACAGTGTTGAACCCTAAAACTTTTTCGGCCTTTCCATTTCAAAAGAACCCTCCTGCCCCTGAGATGAAAGTAGAACAGACTCATGCTGGTATTCCATCCGAGGAGCCTAGAACTCTCCCACCTTCTTGCAAAAGAACGACCCCCATTTCTCACCCGTTTGGCGCACCCGTTTGGAGGGGACTTCATCAGTTTGGAGGTGACTTCAGTCATCACATGTTGACTCCCATATTCGACCTGCCAAGTAAGAAGATGTGGGATTCGATCTGAGGACCTTAGCTAGCCTCAGCGGCCGCTCTCTTTGCGTAACGGATTGTGGTCCAGAGGTGGCTCATGAGGCTTGTCCATATGAGACGCTTTGGCTTAAAGTGCTTGGACTTGGATGATGTAGGAGGTTCCCGGACAGGAACTGAAGGTGGCCTGAGTTGAACAGCACTATGAGCATCTTCAAATGGTCAGAGTGGGATTGAGCCGTCTACTCTGAGGGAAGCCTAGATCAATGGTTCATTAGGACCCTAGGGATCCAGTCGTGCCTCCTCAACAGGTACTTGGACCCTCCAAACCCACCCCAGACACATCAGAGGGTACTTGGATCCTTAGGGGGATATTGTCTCACAATGCAATGCAGGATAAAAGTGATTCCTCCCCTCAACCGTACTAACTACAGCAGGCGCAACTGACCAAAGGAGCTGAATTGGGATTGGGCTGATGACGCATAGCCATATAATATATAGTATCTCTAGTGGCCCATATCCTCTGGGACCTCGGTATCTCTAGGACCCACCGGGGACCCAACGGAGGTAGGCCAGGAGCCCGGGTGGGTAGTAATTGCACACTACTATACAAGGGTTTGACTGAGCACTGTGCCCGAAATCCGGCTCTCAAAAGAATTTCGTTCCGTTGGTCGTTTCGAGCTTCATCTTCAGGAGGCCGCAGGGAACCTTTGCCAAGCCCAAATGCACCTTGGCTGCATTTTGTATTTGAACCGATTTCGATTTTAGTGATATGTGAACCTGGTGAAAGGAGGCCTGACTCAAAATCAGCCGTACAAGCCCTTACCCGACTTGAACTTCCTATAGGATGCCCATCATGATGCTATTTGAGTATATTTGAGTCGCTATTGCGCTCCTTTATGGACTCTTGCCGGGCCCTCCTTGCAGATGTCACATGCTCTGGATGATGTCAACCGATGTGTGCTGTTGCCGGGTTTGCCAGGTGCCCTATGAAGAAAACAACATCGGCAACACAACATGAAACCCGAAGAACTCGAAGAACCACCTCCCAACCCAACAAAGCATGAACGCCCTCCGGTCGTCCACACCCAGTCCACATACAGCCTGGACGCCCTCCATTCTTGCGCCCCCCCGAAGGCCTCTTGGTGCCGGCGCCCACGGGCGATCCCACTCATCCGGACATGCGGAAGCAATTCTGCAGCTCGGCCACGCGCGCTTGAGGCGGCCGCGCTAGGCGGACTTGAGGGTACTTGAGGCATGTATGGACAATCACATGTACCCCCGTGGGATTCCAACATCATTCAACAACCAGTGTTTTAATTAATGGTCTTTGCCAGACAACCTTTGGTTTACTGAGGGTTTGACACTACAAAACAGATCAAACACTTTTCTAATGGTCTTTGAAGGCCAGGGTTGCCCTTATTTACCTACATTGACCTTGGAAACATCTTCAGATGACCCCAAGGGAAAAGGCAAATGTTCCAAACAGGGATTGTTGATGCTTGTGTGTGCAAGACTTCCTCCCCACCAGCCATAGTACCAGCCATTTTTTCGAGGTTTCAGAAACTTAGCAGATCTCAGGGAGGGAACTCAGCAGATCCCAGATTGACGCAAGGGAACTTGAGATCCGATCCAGAGCTGCCGGGACGAATGGTCGAAACCACTTGAATCCCACGAGATGTTGTTTGCTTCTCGCAATGTGGATGTCTAGACTGAACATCCAAGACGTGTCCGATGATGCCTTGCACCAAGATCCTGGGGTCTCAACGCTCAGACTGAGCCGTTGGTAGCTTCGCAACTTCCCATTTCCACCCGAGAAAAGCGGCGAATATCTTGTAATCAACCTGTTTGAGGAGGTTTTGGGGACACCCCACCCGACGGATAGAGCATGTGGACACTTCGGTTGACCTTTATATTCCCAAGAAGCCAGGGGAGTCATTAAACTTGGTCCACGACCTGTGCTCCTCGAGGTGCCTTGGAATGTCGAAGCGATAGCTACTGCCCCAAGGGTGCCAAGTGCACCTTGATCGACGCCCTGAACGAGCGTGACCCTTGGGGAGAGGTAAATCCAGTGGCGCGGAATTATCCCCACCTCATCTCAGACACTTGGGCTGCGTGGGCTGGAGGTGCTCAGCTCTGAGACAAACATGGCCAGATGTTCCACATTGTTCCACAAACACAGAAGGAGAAGGAGTCATGTACTGATCCTGATTCAAGGGACTTGGGGACTTGGGCTGAGTTATTTTTTTGACATGAAAGGCTTTCACTGTGGGTCTACGTCGCCAAACCGTAGGGTTCTACGTAGCCAAACCGTAGGGATGAGAACACCACATCTTTAAACAAATCCCTGCTCAGTTGGGCTGCGTGGCACTGCGTGGGCTGGAGGTGCTCAGCTTTTCTAAACATGGCCACATTGTTCCACAAACACAGAAGGAGAAGGAGTCATGTACTGACCCTGATTCAAGTGAAACATGTGCCTATATAATCCCTTTGAGATCTAGGTGATCTAGGTGTGTGAGCAACGTAGTATCAAACAATAGATCGAACTGTTCTTTTGAATTCGAGTAATTGTCATGAAGACTGACGCCGCTTCCTATTTGTGATTGGCCTTGCTAGAGCTGGGGCAGTAGTTTCTACTGTATGTGTTTCTATCATTTTTTTTCTATCATGCCTAGGATAGCTTTGGCAAGATGCTTGCACCTGAAGCGGCTGCTAGGTCTTCAGGATTTCTTCGTTCATTTCGCCCCACCGTTGCAGAGTCGCTCGCGGAACTAGCCAAGGACGATGAACTTCGGGGAGTGTGCACTTTTCGCACGAAGACGGGCAAGGGCGTGAAAGCTGCAGCGACGCTGGAGTTGAAATTCTCCAAGACGGCCGATGGATTCACGCTTGGCACGGTGTTTTTTCTTACTTCTTTGGGGTTGGGGTATCTCCACTCTTCATCTACAATTACATAGTCACACCCTATACAGACCCACTTCTACTTCCCACTGATCCACTCCAGGTCACCCTGGAGATCCTACGCGAACGCGGCATCAAGCCGCCACCGGACTGGCGCCACAGTGACCTGTGAAAAAATAGGCATTTGACCGACTGAACTGCCTGGGATCGGCTGGCAAGATGAATGGAGTATGATGTACACTCCCTGAAATCATGCAAATCTACGGATCCACATACCGAACCAGGTCGGTACGGTGAGCAGGGAGATTATGTATGTAGGCGCCAGGAAGGTCCAATTACCTTCTGAGGTACGGTGGCAGTGGATCCATAGGGCAAGTGAAGGTCACCACGTGTTTGGTATGAGGATTTCATGGCACTCCAAACTCGGGGCCATGCCATCCACTAGACTTAACATATGCTTACATGATGATTTCGGGAAAGGTATAGGGAAGGACTCTGACTCACTTTGGGCCTGGGGGAGTTATTTTACAAAGCACCATGAGTCATGAAGCATTTTTCTTGTACAGTTCGGGCTGGAAAGGACCTGAGAGAAGTGCGTGAGTGTCCGCCGCGCCGACTAAACTCGCAAAGTGATTCTGATCGAGTTTTGAGGAAGGTGGCAGCCGAGTGAAGGGAAGAAGTCCGACGATCCTTTTGGGGTCTGCAGCCGGCCAGGGAAGGCTGGTTTAACTAGACTAGACCCCTCCCTGAAGTTTGACCAATCAACATCAATCAACCACCTGCATGATAACATGAATCTGCAGAGACCAGCTACTTCGTATTTTGGAAGGACGGCGCATTCGCCAAGGCAGCTGCCGCCGCTTGAGCCGAGCGGAGTGCTTGAGCAAGCAGATGAACGGCTGAGAATGATGAGACTTGAAGGATCTCACAGTTTGACAGCAGCACCTAACCAGGAAAAGTGGGTAACCTGACTGAAAAACCTTTTTGATCCTTTTTGGGGGGGATTGGGGACAATCCACGTGGCAGATAGAACAGGTGTAGAAAGATTTCAAGTTTGGCATGCTTATTTCAGGGAAACTGAAGAAATGAAAGTAAGAAGGTTCCTGGGGTGATAGGATGACATCATCTTTGGGCCCTGGCCACGGCCTAGCGGCCAAGCACACAGATATTTTCCGTTACCAAAGGAGAATGGGGGCCTGTGAGAATGGAGATATGAGATGATACATGGCTTGCAGCCACTGCTTAGCCACTCACGACGCTGCACTTGAAGTGGATTGGGGGCCCTTTTTCACCGGTAGATGGGTATATATCCTATATCTATAATACTGCCGCCAGCACCACCCAAAGGGTTGTTATTGGAAAATGCATCATCAGGTGCGTCTATCAAACTACAAAGCGCCCGAACTGGGTGGTGCTGACACGTGTGTTTGCTTGTAGTAAGCGTGTCCTGAGTCATTAAACGACACGATAAGACCGGCATTAGCAGGATCCTCTTGGAGACTGGCATTAGCACGCGCCCTCCGCCGATCGTCTATGAGCTTCAAAAACTCGCCGCCGGGCACAGGGAGCCCCCCCGGCGAGCGGTTTCGGTGTGCGAGCCCTGAAGGCATCGAAAGAAAGTCGCAGTCGAGAAGAAAAGTCGCTGGACTCGTCGGGCGAGGAATAATCACACATTTGGATTCTCCGACGGGACAACCCACAGGAAACACATGAAAAAAACAACACAAAAAAATGACAACTATATTCTTTATTATTCTCGATCTATTATAGTTTATACCAGTGTTTATACCAAATTGAAAGATCGAGTTTGCAGTCTTCAGTCGTCCTTCAGTCGGAACGGTGGATCAACCAAACTGCATGGATCGAAGGCGGATGAAGGCAACGATGCACTGACCTGGTCCTCTGGTCGTCATGGCCAGACCCCCCCCTTGATGGGTCACGACTTAGTCGTTCTGGGTCCTCCCCTGCGACTTCTAGGAGCTGCATGTACGCATCGCAGGACGGCTTGAGACCAAAACCTTGTGAGAAGCGGTGCCCATAGGTACCCAAGTGTTGATCTTGAAGCTCCGCAAGAAGAATGGATAGAATGTGATACACCTGGTGCTTACCTGGTTCATTTGTTTTCCCCATATCTAGCCTAGGGGCAGAGGGCTCCAGCTCCATCCATAGCAACTGTTGAGCTGGAACTGAGATGTCCAAGACAGAGTATAGCTATAGCAATAAGAGGGCAAGTGTGGGAAAATACAAGACACAGTTGCTTTATGATCGCATGATAGGGTACTGTAGCTGATGATAGCCGTGACCAAATCATTTATATACATAAACAGCAAGAATTGAACACAGTGTCAGGGGCCAAAAGATGTTTCTATTGTTGCTGTTGTCCTTTTTTTCCTGACCAGGGCACACACACCCAAGTCTTAGTATTGATTGTGTGGTCAATTTGCACATCGAGCCTTTTTCTTGGCGGAAAAGGAATGCCGGCCCGCGGGCCCTGGGTATGTTCCCCCGCTGGGTGACAGAGCCCTCAGGAGGTTGGTGGTTGTTTCTACTAGGGTGTGTCACACCCAGCAAACCAGTAACTGTCGGTCAATTACGTTTTCAGCCTGTTTGAGAAGGAAAGGCCTGCAACCCAACCATCATCATCATCCACTATAATTAGGCCTGGGTTTTTTTACAAGTTTCATAGGATATGAGCCAAGTTTCTACCACTTTCTGAATTCAGCCCACATTCACTCGTGGAGGGTTCCTCCCCCCTACAGATCTAAACCAGCCAGAAGGTAGCCAGAAGGCCAAATGAAGCTGAGGGTTCCCAGCTCCGGTGATGTGTTCATTTCGCGAGTCTCCACGATTCGTTCGCCGAATGGGATGCGCCTGACTAATGGCGCAAATGGTGAATCATCGAATGGTCCAATTCCATAGGACCATTGGGCCACTAGCCTCAGTCCATCCAATTGGTCTCTGGTGAATGGTCGAATGGCCCATGGGACTGCAATATATAACGGCTCATGACCACAGCGGCAGACTTGCTCATGCTTGGCGATCCAGAAATCCTGACCCACTTGGGATCATTTTATGAGCCCATGAGGTCCTATCACAGGTGGATTTAAGTGACTTCTCAACTTCCAGCAAGGGCAACCTGTAGGACGAATTTGGTTGAATCTGGAAGGCTCACCGTCACCTCAACGATGCATTCGAGAATAAAATGATGGTGGCATCTCCCAAATTCCGCCCCCCCTAATGGTCCAGAGAAGAACATCCCCTTTCCAAAAACTCAAAGAAGTCCGAAGGAGTCTTCTTCTCCACTCGAGTGGCACCGCCCTTGGATCTCTCACCCGGCCACCGGACGCCTTTGGGTTCCACCATCAGGCCGGTGTCAGCTCAGGAGGATCCCAGCCAGGCGTCTGGGCTGGGCTGGCTGGTGAGGAATTACTTAGTGTGTAGTCAGTGGCTCGTTGGATAAGATGCAAAAGGGGAAAAAACTAAGTTTGGAGGCGATTGGGGATATGCCGTATAGGCTTTTGTGGCCTTTCTTGGTCTCGATGTTTACTTTTTGAGCTGCAATGGTAGTGCGCTTCTTTGTGGGGTGTTCTTTGCCGCCGCTCTTGCTGGCCAGAGTTTACGATGGGTGGTCTGTGGTTTTCCACGGCCATGGGTGACAACACCCTGTTTTCAGTTGGCGTGTGATCGAATCTCGTTCGCTTGAGAGGTAAGAGCAGGTCGAACGTTTGGTTAACCGGTGAGCCTGCATTTTCGAGGGATTCTGAGGTGAGCGGTCAGTTTATGGGTTGGTGGATTATGGTATTGCAACCACATAAGGAGCTCAAGGGTGACTTAGGATTGCTTTTGAGAGGCAATGAGAGGCTCGGGAGGAGGGAGGGATTTGTGTTGCCCGTTGCGCTGTGGGCAAAAATTGCAAAGCTGATAGTGTGTTTCTTCACTTTGGCTTGCTTAGCTTGCTTAGTTCTAGCCAGGAGTCTGGTGGCTCAGTTGACTTCAGTTCTTTTGTTACCTCTCAAAGGATTTCCAACTTGGGCTACCCTCTGACGGACACATCACATGGTTGCGTGGATGGCCTGATGCCTGGAACGACTATGAACCATTTTTCCTTTACTCACAGAATCCCTAGTAAGGCTCCCAGTGCCGAGAAGGCGATTGGAGACACTGGAGACATGTAGGTTCTCCCGTCATACCGAACCTGAGGAGGTACGATTGGAGCCCCTACAGTGGTCCAAAACCTTCCAAAGGAAAAAACGGGTCACCGGAGCCTCTCAACCGTCTCAGCGGACGAAGGTGGCGGCCAATGCAGCCCGCCGCGCCATGTCGGAGGAGACGCTTGTTGCGCGCTAGACGGTTGTTCCTTTTATCGTGCGTCGAGGGGGGGGCGTCAGAGCTAAGAGGGCTGCTAAAAGGTTGCAAGGATGAAAAGCAGAAAAGCTCTAGGAGTCTTGAAAGTGAGAAAAAACGCCAAGCAAATCTGGATCAGGCGCTGTATCTCCCAGATCTTGGACAGGTGATTCCCCCAAAAAACTCCCTGCAGGCTAACATGGATTATGAGTATATGAAATGGACTTCTGTAAGACAATTATTATCATCTACCACCCAGTGGTTCTTCAGGGCCCATGTGGTGCCTTGCAGGAGGGTATCGGTCAGAAGCAGAGCGGTATGGACTCGCGGTAGGAAAGGACTCAGCCAGGGGCCCTTCGCAGCACCGCACCTTCCACACCTTCTGATCTCCGAGGGCAGGGTTCCTGGCAAATGTGAGTCGAGTGAGTCAAGTGAGCGGTAGATCGGCTCAAGATGAGCGATGGGGCGGAAAGCGGTTGTTGTTCTTGAGAGGGGTGCTTTTTCTATCTTTCTGTGTAAGGCCCAGCGCAACAGCCTGTGGTCAATGTCCTGCCCTGGCCCGAAAGCCCTGCCAGGACCTGCATATTCAAGAAGATGACACAGAGGACAATGAATTGGAAGAGGCACGGCCCGCGGCTCGCAAATCGAGTGGCCCAAATGGGATGTTTGGATTGACTCACTGAGAGGATGGCAAGGGCCTCAAGGAGTGTTAGACTGGTTGCTTGGATAGAACTCCGGGTGGCTGAAGTAAAGGATGGTAGAAATATGTAGAAATGCATGTTCCAAAGGTGGCTACTTGTTGAGAACTGCCAAGTGATCAAGAGTTGCATCGGCCATCCTGGGACCTGGAACAACCTGTTCCAGCATTTCTTGTTCGACATTGGTGTTTCTATGTGTTTCTGTATATGGGTGCTCTTCACGCGGCCAAACAGGAACGAAAACAACTGCAAAAGCTTTTGCTTTGGGACTCGGACTCCTCTCTTCTTCTCAGAGCACGTTCTCGTTGAATGGGCAAGGGAAACGGTTAGCTTATACTGTTTGTCAAGCGTCATAGTCTGTGTTTGAGCGCCACAGGGGGTGGACCAGGGGATGAGCTGGAGAAGCTGGAAGAGCCACGACTCCCCTTTGGTATCAAGGTATATCGTTCGCTTTTTCCATGGGATGGCGCCCTCTACAAGTTTCAGAAGTCAGTATAGTATAAGTATCACATATATATATATATATACATGTATAGATATAGACTGTCACTGTAAACTTGTTCCATGCCACATCCACTAGTCCTGATAACTTGATTCATGTATATACTCTTGGGTAATGTGAGCCCATAATCACCCCGTGATGGCTCTCGGTGGTGATGGGTCTTGGGCGCGGAGGTGATTGACTTATGGCATATGTAAAGAAACAGGTTACGTTTGACGGTGAAGTTTGACGCAGCAACAAAGAACTTACTTGTTTGTTTATATAAGTTAAGTTGTCCACTCAACTGATATTTAGAAGCAAACTGCTCTAGGTGCATCCTAGATCGGCAGGAACCCATCGACATTTTGTCAGAAATCATGTCAAATTGCTAGATCCATACCAGAAATCCTATCTCGTGCCTGCCTTGATTGCGACATTTGTCTTGAACCCATAGGCCTTCCAAACGAAATCGCAAAGTCCCATCCATGTCGGCTCTTTTTGCCATGGACTGCCTCCTTGTGCGTTCGCCACTGTGGCGCTGCCTTGCGACGAGCGCGGAACATGGGGCGAAGTTGCGCATGACGCGGCGGATTAAAGGCACTCGGTCGATCAAGGAGTTGAGGATGGAGCCCTTGGATTTGCTTGAGGAAGAGATTTTCGGGGTGGTTTAGTTTCAGAATTTCAGAGATGTTGATGTTCAGCCTCTACTTTCGATGATTGAAACCACAAATACTTCTCAAGCGAGTTGAAACCACCAGGCATTGTTGAAGTTGCAGTCCAGACTGCTGTGAGTGTCATCTCCGGTGTCGTGTGTACCCCTGGCGAAGCAAAGGCTTTTAGGGGACTTGGGGGCGTCCTCACGTGTCCTCCCCTCCTGGTGGAAAAGTATCAACTGCTTTCGGTCGTATTGGACATCGTGAAAAACACTGCATTTTTCCTAACAAGACCCTACAAGGAGACTTCTTTGTTTGGTGTCATACACAACCACTCTAAACTCTAAAGCGCTCAGTCGGATCTTCCCTGATTGGTGGTTCTCAGCCAAGCCACCGAGCCTCATTGGAACCTGGGAGCTTGGCGTAACCTTGGCTCTCCCAGGTGGCACACGAGGCGTTGATGGCTTCATACTTTGATGCAATCCATGCATCGGCCAGCTGGCAGATAAATGCTTGGTTTTGCTTATGATCTTTGTTCATGTTCCCTAATTATGGTTAAATCTCCTTCTTGATTGTGAAATTCGTTCCAGGTTCCTTGAGCAAATCCAAGAATGGAACATTTGGACTCGCCCTCATGAGTTCTTTTCTCCAGAAGGCACCCACATCCAACTGGATGCCCACCCGAAAGCGTCTGCCGGTCGGGGCTTCTGCCGGTCGGGCGTGGGCGGGGCGCAGAACGACGCCATGCCTTGGGCCGGACGAAGACCGTCAGTCGATGTTGGTCGATCAACGGCTTCGTCTATTGGACTTCAATGAAAGATGACGAAATACAATGGTTGTACTTTAACAGACTGAACTCTGAGGTCAATGATATACTGCATCCTTTGAAGTTCCTGTCTTCTTGTCGTTCTTGTGTGTTGTGTGGGGTGGTGGATGCACGCACAATCTGATACCATTCAACGCCCTCAAATGTATGAGGCAGGGGGCCCGACCCCTAAAATGAACGGCTTCAGAGCTCTTGGCAGCGTCCTCTTCGAAGTCACTATCCCCACTTTTCCGTGCTTTTTGGGATCTTGGATGTATCAAGCCCTCCTCCATGGCCACGCCATGTTCCAACCCATCTCGTAGTTGACACTGTTGTTACCCGAGGCCCATCAGCAAGTCCTAAGTCAATATGGTCAATATGCTCAGAGCACCGTCCCTAGTACGTGGTTTTCTATCAAGTCTGTTTGGTCGATGTTTCTGGAGTTGGGCCACCACCTGCGGTTCTTCGTACCCAACATGTCCAAAGGGCTCGGGCACATGTAGGATGATGGATGGCCTGCTTGAAGCGATCCCGATGGCCACCAACCGCACTCCCGCCCTGCTGGGGGTCATGTGGACTCTGGAAATTGAGAACCCCTCCATTTGAATGGAACAACCTCATCAAAAGAGTCTCCATGAGGGTGGATTCTCCAGTTCCCTAGGCCTCCAAGTACCTTCTGAGAAGGTGGGACTGGGGTGGGTGCCAGGAGGGCAGGAGGGTCCAATCCTTCTGAGGAGGTATGACTGAGGTGTAGGAGCCGTTCGGGCCCTCAGCCTCGCTATCACCAGGCGCTCTATCACCAGCTGGCGTGCCTTCAGCGTGCGACTCCTCCGGCAGAGTTGCCGTCGCAGCTCAATGGCTTCTGTGCACTGCAGCTGCGGATGGAGGAGTTGTTGCGAGAGGGTGACGTGAGCCCCAGGGTGTGCGCCAACGTGTCACTTAGATATGCAGAACAAAAGAAGATAAAAGAAGGCCACCGACATAGGATCTGTTTTTCATGGAGGATTGACATGCAGCTGTGGGAAAACACAATCATTGAAAAAAAACATGTGAGGACAAAGACAGCTATTTATATACAGATTCCTACGGTTATTCACAGTGATCAATTTGTTTGATGCTTGGTTGTTCTTCCAAACCGTTGGACATCCTTCAACTATATAGTAAAAATATAAAGTAATATATAGTAATATATAATGACATATGCAATAGGGGTAGTTGCCATTGAGTTCCAAGGAATGCTTGTGATGCGCCACTCCTCTTTTGACTAAGGCTTTGGTCCATGGCCTACCTCGTTGATGTGCTCCCCTCCTCGTCCCTGCTGTCGGCCTTGATTTTGCACCTTCCAAGCAAGGCTGGTGCTATGGACGCGCAACAGCTGTCCAACAGCTTGTGGGCGACAGCGCAGTTGTGCCACTCCATGCCTTTGGTGTTTTCCGCAGGTGAGCTGCAGAAGATGGTGCTTGTACTGGTGGCTGGGATATCATGCAAGGCCAACGACATGATTCCTCAGCACTTATCCAATTGCATGTGGGCCACTGCGCAGTTGAAGGATTTGATACCTGATGTACTCAAGCTGGTGCCGACGCTAGTCGCTCGGATCCCAGCACAGGTAGAGCGAATGATACCACAGCACTTGGCCAATTGCATGTGGGCTGCTGCTCGTTTGAGACTTTCAGCCGCGTCAGATGTGGCAAATTTGGTGCCAGCACTCGCGGGCCAGATTGGCAGGAAGGCTGGCCAGATGAACCGTCAGGAACTGTCCAACTGCATTTGGGCATCGGCTCATTTGCTGGATGTGGCGCCAGGTCATTTGGCAAAGCTCGTGCCAATACTTGTGGTTCAGATCTGTAGGCATAGCACTCCGATGATTCCTCAGCAGGTGTCCACCAGTCTTTGGGCGGCTGCCATTCTGAAGAATTCGACGCCAGAGTCTCAAAACGGTGGATCCAAATGATTTTGCACCATCACCCTCCAACAAGCATCAACATGAGTGGAAATGGACGACATATGAGGTTGCACATGGACAGATGTTGGAGGGTGTTGGTCTTGATTGCTGTTCTCTCCCGTTTTCGGCCATTTGGAAATTCGCGTCAACAGGGGCCTTTTTTCGGTGGGGGAATCCAAAGGGGGTTGAGGGTTGCAAGCGCAGAACCTCCTAAGGCTCTAGCACTCCACACAGCCACCCCCTTGCGCTTCTGAATGCGACTCCAAGGATGTCTTGAAGATGGTGCCAGGCTTGGCGCATGAGGCCCGTGCTCAAGCTGATGAGATGACACCGCAGGCATTGTGCACTTGCTTATGGGCTTCAGCCCACTTCAAGGAATTGCCTGAGATGCAGATTTGGCCAGCGCTTCTTTCACGGATCCTCGGTGAATCAATGGCTATCCCCCCTCATCATCGAAAAAGGTAGAGTGAAAACCGCCTGTTTTGGTCTCAATGTTCCACTTCCATGACGATTCCAAGTAGTGTACCCCCTTTGATCCCGTGGTCAAGCAGTTTACACGCGGAAACCAGTGGTTTGTAGAGAAGAACCACTTACCAATCAGTCTTCAAAACTTCAAGGTCAGTCTTCAAGACTTCAAGGAGGGTCGACAGACTCAGTCGACTGTTCGGTTTGCCGACCGGCGAAACCCGTACGGAAACGACGAAGCCGTCGACATCAAGCCCACCCTCCTTTCCGGAAACGGCTTCGAGCCGCGCGTGATTTGCTTTGGGTTGGGAGATGTCCATTCAGGATCCCGTTCCATGTCCCATCTTCGAATCACTGAGGATTTCATTGAAGATCTCCGACATGAATCTCCAGGACTTGTGCAACACGTGCTGGGCTTTAGTGGTCCTGTTGGATGCGGATGAGAGCCGAATTCACTCACGCATCAGATGGAAAGGAGTCGAGATCGGTTGAAATGGAAGTGGCCCAGCTGCTACAGCCCCAGCTGCTCCAGCCTTCAAGCTGAAGGGCCACACTGGCAAGATGAGTGCTCCGGCCTCGGTTGATGAAGAGCCCAGCTATAGCTAGCTGCGTCTCTTTGCTGTATATTGTATACATTGTATACCTAAAGGTGCCTACTTGCCAGATGCTGGACGCTATCACTCAACATCGGCTTACAGCTGCATGGCATTTCAGTCCATCGCCGCGCGCCTGCAGCGGCGTCCATGTACCGCTACCGTGGGGACTTCCAAGTACCGCGCCGGGGAGCTGCTGTTTGGAGCGTTTGGTTGGAGCGGTGCATGAACCAGGGGAAGGAAGAAACTGCTGCCAAGACTCATCCCGAAGAGCGAAACCATCGCAGGGCTTGGCACCTTGGGGAGGGGGCCTGCTTTGCTCGAGGTTTTGGTCTTCAGTTTCCTAAGTGGAGATGGTGCAACTGATGCATGGTGGCAAAAAGAAACAACTGACATTACACATTGTGAGGCCGATGGTATATCAATAGCCTTTAGCTCAATCACCATCCTGGAGTAGTTGCAGAAGGACCAATCTGATCAAATTGACAAATGCACTGAGTTATGACTGAGTCCTAACCAGTTTCTCATGGAACCCCTATTTTTCTGGTTCTTTTTTTCCTTGTGTTTCTGGGATGTTTTTCACGTTTTTGTCCACTACTGCTTTTGCTTTTTGCTTTTTGCTTCTGCTTCTGCTTTTTGCTTCTGCTTTTGCTTCTGCTTTTGCTTTTTGCTTTTGCTTCTGCATTTGCTTTTGCTTTGTGCTTCTGCCTTTTGCGTTTCCTTCTGCCTTTGCTTTTGCTTCTGCTGACTATCTTCTTTGCATTGACACTGCCACAAAGTTGGGTGATAAGACCTTCACCTTGAGCTTTGACACCCAATTACACCAATCAAGAAACGACGCAGCCCAGCGCTGTCTATATTTGATTTGCATTGCGGGGGGAGGCGCTGCGCCCTCCCCCGCACCCCGTCCCGCTTTTTTTTATAGTTCCCACTACCGTCCACCACCCCTACTATTTCCAATACCTCTATCGCTCGGACCACCCCGCTACGAGTCTTACCACAGTTACCACAACTACTATTTTCTTTGCGTTGACGCTGCTGCCACAAAGGTGGATTTCTACTTTGCTTAGCCCAAAGAATCCCGAAACCAGTGAAGCCCAAAGACAACCGCAGAGAAGTCCCTATTATAGTTCCTCTCTCCTCTTTCCTCACTCCTACTTACTTCTCCTGCGTTAAGTGGGATGCCTTGTCCGGAAGAATGCCTAAAGAAACCCTAAAGACAAGAAACCGAGCCCAAAGAAACCCGAAACCAGTGAAGCTAAAGACAACCGCAAAGAAGTCCCCTCCCTTTGTCACTGTCACGCTGGCTTTGGTGCTTCGTCCCCTGCCCTTTCTGCTGCTCCTAGTGTTTGTAAACCACTCCCAGCAGAAGCAAAAGCAAAAACAGTAGGGACAAAAACGTGAAAAAAAACTGAAACAAGGAACACATATCAATCCGTTTCTCATTGTGCCCCTCTCTACTCCAACCTTTTCTTCTTCCCACCCACCTGGCAACTCCCCCGCCAGCTTGCGCTTGCGGAGGCCATCGAGCGCATGCGGGCTTCGGAGTCGGAAGCCTCGGGACCCACCCGGTGGCGGGCACGCGGGAGCCACCGGAGCCACCGGGGTGAGTAAGAGATTCTTGTCTCTTTCGGAGGATCCAGGTCCACCAGCATATATACTGGCAGTTTTACTGGTGTCATATATAGGTATAGATAGATAGATAGATATATAGGTATAGATAGATAATATATATATATATATATTTAGATAGATAGATAATCAAACATTGAATGCCATGTCTAATGTCAGAATATATCAATCCAATGCAATTCTAATATGTATTTAAATATATATATATATATATATATGAAACAGCTCTTCTAGCGTGGGTTTTCTTTTTTGTCCTAAGCTATGGGAGCTCGGTGAAGAGAGAGGTTCTTGGGAGCTCGGTGGAGTGAGTGGCTTTGAGTGTCGGCCCTAGGCCCTCTGGCCCGCGACGTGCTGCCAGGTGGGGGTCGGGGGGTCGGTGAATACATCGGTTGGAAGGAAGTTCTATGATTTGCCGGGTGGAGGCCATGGCCGCAGGCAAGTATGCTAGTCGGTGATTCTGCCGGGCCTTGATGTGGAAGTTCAGGGAAACCTTCAGGAGTTGCTCGCTGCACATTGAAGAGTCATAGGATCACTGAAGGAATGCATACATTGATGCTGCACCTGTCACACACGGACTATTAAAAAAAAAAACTTTTGAAGCTTGTGGCCCTGAGCCCCCCGAAGAAAGCAGAATAAAACATTTTCATGCATTTTCCACTTCATGCATTTTCCACATCCGAAGAAGGCCCGCATTAGATAATTCAATCACCAAAGTCTTCAGTGGTGCACGTAAATAGATCGCACAAGTCATCTTGGAGTCACGTAAGTCTCCATGTCTCTATGTTTGGTCGTCCACCCCCACTGAATCTTCGATTGACTTGGTACTTACAGTGGTTTCAGAGGGACAGCACGTGCAACCCCGGCGACAGATGGGACGTTGTCCCAGCAGTGCAACCAACGGGAATCATTCTAAAACACATACCGACCAACAGGGGGTCCTGTGTCTATCAAGTCTCCTTCAACCACTGATAACCACCGTAAAGGTTCGTGTGCTGAGGAGTCCCGTGCAAACAAAACCCAGACACGACTAGTGGGACTGCCATATATGCCGCCCCATTGACGCCTCAAACTCAAAGCACCCCAACTGATCGGCATATATGGCATATATGGTCTATAGATATTATATCCCTAAGGGCTCCAAGTACCTCAGAAGGTCTCTGCACCTGGTCCCCCACTTCAGTCCCACCGAACCTCAGCTACGACTGGAGCCCTGGAGGGTCTGGAAAATCCATCCTGCAGGTGTGGCCGCACCATGCCCGGCGTGGACGAGGCGAACGACCGGCCGAGCACGGGACCGATGCGGGGAGGGCGCGAGAGCGGCCTGGGAAGGTGGGAATGGGAAAACACCAGTGAGGTGATAATGTAATATACATATAAATATACAAATATATATATATATACATACATATATATATATTTATTATATAGATATGTAGATCTATATAGTACTCGTACCATATAGTAGCATATAGAATATATTGGTTGGTGATATCTTTTGGGAGGAGCAGATTGATGGGAACAGACTGCAGACTGCAGACTTTTGCTCCATCCAAGAGTTGAGCTTTTTCGAAGCGACCATGGAGACAGACTGATACAGGACCATCAAGAATCCATAACCGAGACGCGACTAATGGGACTGCCATAGGACTGCCGAGAAACGGCCGGGGGTGGTGCCAGGGGGGTCGGCCTCTGGGGCGGCAGTCCTATGGCAGTCCCAGACAGGTCGTGTTTGGGTCAGAATTTACATGTTTGTTTCTGTCCAGATTCGCCTGCTCTTGACTTCTCTTCAGATGCTCCCCCGTTGGGGCGCCTTCGCTCCCGCCGCCTTAGCGCCCTGCCCCTTGCCCCAGCGCCTTCGCGCTCCGGCCAGGCGACAGCAGCTCCAGCGGCAACAGGTGCTGGAAGCCTTCCCACGCCCACGCAGCCGGCTGAGAAGAGACGAACACTGCAATTAAATAGGCAGTTGCAATAGAGTAAAGAGCAAGTGGAAGTGAGCTCACCAGCTGTTGGGTAGTTTGGAACGGCGGGTCATCCAAGTCATCCAGGGTAATCCAAGGAAGATGTTAAATCCCATCACTGAGCATGTCGACTGACTGGATGAATCGAGGGTGGTTTTGGTGCCAGCACCTCACTGGATGGTGTGAGAGATTTCATTGGGAAGCCCGAACCACTTCTGATCCACCGACCTGAAGTGCCTCAAGGCACCCGCTGTGAAGTGCGATGACCACCAGGTGGTGGCGCAGATACGCTCGAAGGGTCGGATGAGTTGGAGTAGGAGTAGTAGTCGTCTTCGTCGTCGTCGTGGTTGTTGTTGCTGTTGTTCCCCCTGAGGCCTTCCAGTGAGGAGCTCAGAGTGCCAGCGACGGAGAGATGGGACATGTTTTTGTCTAAAGCTGTGCCTGCAATCGCCCTCCACATGGGCTGCTGCACTTCACAAGTCTACACGCTTGCTTGCTGCCTTGCCTTATCTATCTTGCCCCTTGACCGCCAAACACATGACATATCCACTGCTAAAACCGTCCGAACGCCCTGCTACACCAATGATTGGCAGCAAGCACCATGTTAGGCTTTCCTAATTCGCTAGCCGGCCCACATTTTGGGATGATCAAGAATCCTGCAAAAGAGAGTGGTTCCATAGTTTTCTTCACGAGTCTTGGTCTTGGAGTATTCAGGCGTCCTTTGGATTGGAGAGGGGATGTAGGGGTTGTTGCACTTGAACAAGGCAACATCTCAGCAAACCCACATTGGGAAGAGGGTTAGCAGCTTAGCATGGTACGTACCTCCAGGCTCACCAGATATGAATTGATCTCGGGTCAATGTCCTGATCCTCAATGCGCCTGATCCTCATGAACTTGGACGCTGAAACCTCGTTGAAGGGGTGAACATGTTTTGTGCTGTTTCACATGGCAGCCTGAAATGGTCTTACTTCTCCAGCTGCGCAAGAACTGGTTCTAGTTCTATACATTCCCTCATTTCCCTACTAAGCACTTGCCAGTGCTATGTTTTAACATTCTTCCTCACCTGGATTCACCTGGTTCTATTCCTGTGCCAACTATGGTGGGCACTTCCGCGGCCTGCCTGAAACAGGCGTTCCAGCTGCTCAAATGCCGCCGCGTGCGCCCTGCCTGTCTGTGAGCTTTGAGAGTGTGGCTTTAGGTATGAGGTTCAAATGATTCCTACTGTTTCCAACAATCTTGAACCTTGCAAGCTAATGATAATTAATGATACATATTTAAAAAAAATATAGCCCCAACTCGCTGTGATTCG